AAGATTCCAGGCCGAAAAAAACAAACGAAGTTGGGCCTCATGCCCGACTTCGTCAACTTGGAAAAGACCCCTGCGCTGCACGTGGGTTGCTTCACGTGGGTAAGTCCCAGATCATTCACAAATTCGAAGATTGTCCTTTGTGAATTCAAAGAATGCCCTTGATGGATTTCGAGTTTATCACTTCCGCGTTGCCTCAAAATTAGATTCTGAAAATGCAAACGTTTTGTGGATTAAATGGCTATGATAATGTCTTGGACCAAAGGAACGACGTGACTGACTGTAAATTATTTTCTCTCTAATCACCACGTAAACTGATTGTGTGCTAGTCTTAGAAATTGGTAATTCTGAAATATTTGCTTCTTTAAAATGTCGGTTTGTACTTTTGTCAAGCAGAAAATCTGCATAAATATTTCTGTCGATGTGCTGCATATCAAAGCCACGTAAGGTTGATACTTCGTAGAGTGGATAGTGGATATTTGATAGTTACATAGTTATAAGAGACTAATACATGCATGAGACAAAATAGCCAGGAGCAGAGTTAGAAATCTAAAGCGAGGAGTTCTGATAGGAGCCCACTCGTACATCCCATTATATTCAAATAAGTTTTTCTACTAGTGAACTACCACCTTCATAAAAAATTTGAGCACTTCACACATACTTACTATTCAAAAAATATAAGTACTCACAATATGCATGCATGTCAAGTCAAAATACATTTTTTATGCATTTCATAGAGAAAACTACTCACTTTTCCCTTAACTTTGCATCACAACGGAGTGAGAAAATGCTTTAGTTCCTTGCTAATAAAGGAAATGAAAATGAAATAAAAGAGCACATTCCTTTTCTTTTTCAATACTGTTGGAACTGAAATCAAGTCTAGTGGGGGTTTGAATAGGGTTGCTACCATTTTTCACTAAAAATACAGAATAAGCAGCGAAATATATAAAATAAAAGATAAAAAAAAGGACACGTAAGATTTTATAGTAGTTCAAATAACAATCTTGCGTTCACTCTTCTTACTCACAAAGGAGCTTCCTCACTATGCCAAGAGTTCACCTGAATCACAACCCCAGTTAGTAAGTTTATGAAGACCGCACCCTGAAATCTACATTAAACCAGTCATCTAACCTAACTATTGACAACGAGTAACATCTAGCCTTAGTACCAACCCTCAAGTATCACTGACTTAAGTATGTTGTCAACCAAACACAGTTTGAGCGTAGAAAATAAGAAAGATTTTACAGCCCTTTTCGATTAACAAACTGTCCTTCGATCAATCAAACTGAAGCTTGATGAAGAACGGTGTGGATGATGAAACCAAAAGCAACTCTCTTTACTGAGATGATTCGAAGATAATAAGTAAGATGAGGAAGAGTTTGTTGAGGCTTTGAGGGTTCAAAACACCAATTCAATCTTCTTTAAACTAACCCTAGAATTTCTCTCTTCAATCGCTCGTTTAGAACCCTAGAATCCTATCCTTCAAATTTATCTTTTTTAATCTTATATAGCCTCTGATTAATTAGGAAAGAGATATTCTAATCATAGTTAAAGTTGAAGATAAAATAGATCAACAAACGGCTGTGATTAAATCAACAAATTTGCAATCACCCGTCTTAACCATAGATAGGCCATCACATCATCGATGGGTTCCTGAGCACCATCGATGGGTGCTTGCAAATCATCAATGGGTTAAATTCGTATTTTGGAAAATCTACAATTATTGATGTACATCATTGATGACCTCAACTCTATCGTTGGATTCTTGACCCCATCGATGGGTCCAAAGCTAAAACTAGCTTTCATGCTGATTTTCTTGTCTTTTCACCTCGTACTCTTTCTATACCTAGCTATTTCCGTCTATACTATATCATCTCAAACAATTATTAATATCAAATAAGAGTTTATTATTACTCAAACAAGAACTATTTATGAACTAAGTCCTAACAAATACATCCCTTCCCTAAGCCACTCAGGAAGAGTCTAGGTGAACAATCTCTTTTATTGATAGTGATCAGAACAATCGACCTAGCTAATGACTACTTCCCCCTTTTTCTTTTTCTTTTTCCATGACTACTTCCCATTTATAAATTAAAAAAAAGAAGCTACCAAAAAATTCTGCATTTAATAATGGTTCTCATGTTCTCTGTATTTTAATGTTACCAATGAATAAAATGACTAAAATTTTGGAGGTAAAAAGCAATGGGAAAAACACGCTTTCGCATAGACGAAACCGATTTCTTCCAATTTTCCTTCTGAGAATAATAGAAAGGATATTTATGGTGTGTTTGGGAGTTTACTTAGGGAAGGGAAGGAAGGGGAAGGAAGGGGAATTTTTCCCCTTCCTTCCCTTCCCCTCCATTACACCCCAATTTGGGGTGTAAGAATTTGGGCCAAATTTCCCCTCCATTCCCCTCCTCTACCCTTCAAAATGAAACTCCCAAACGAGGTTAAAATGAAATTTCCCTTCCCTTCCCTTCCCTTCCCCCTCTCTACCCTCCATCCAAACAGGCCATATAAAATGAAATTTCCCTTCCCTTCCCTTCCCTTCCCCCTCTCTACCCTCCATCCAAACAGGCCATTAAGACCAATAGAACTCATCGTAGAGAGTTGACTCGGTACTGGATAGGATCCATAATTTAATGTATATGCTCTCATAAGTTCAAAGAATCTAGAAATTAGTATGTATATATATAAAAGGTTTAACATGAAAACTTTTAATGATCAACAAAACCGACTGAAATAGCTAGCACACAAGCAGTTGCAATGGCAGCCCATTACAGTGAGCTGTAATCATGGTTGAATGCATGTGGAAGCTCTCAGGTATCCATATATACGACCATATTGTTGTGGGTACACAAATGCATTTAAAACTATATTAATATATAATTTATATAATGACAAAAACAACTTGTATCACTGTTATCCCTTGTTCCTAACTCTTTCAAAGAAATCTTAAAAAATTTCCAAACCCATTTGTTTATTAGTACTTGAAGTACTCCAATCACAGAAGACTCCTCCTTAGTGCAAATGGGCTGATCCCATAATAGATTATTAGTTGTCTTCTCAGAGATATTCCTTAAAAAGTTGTTAAATTAAATATGAGTATAAGATTATAAATTAGGGAATAAGATAGATTGTTGGGGTATAATATTTCTCATGTGTTATCCCAACAGACTCTTGTTGCTTTGCTACACATTTATTTTTACTTAATGCTTACAATTTTGGTACCACAAGATTGTTTTGTTACAGTGCCTATATAGTCCAAATAGCTTGTTTGGGTTATTTGTGGCTTGTTCCCTCTCCCTCTCTCTACCTCTATCTCTTGGAATTTTTCCATTAAAAAAGCTCTGTTTCTTACATGGCAAAACAATCAAGAAGCAAGTACATAGTAATTTCTCGACCTTTTGGATTTTTCGGATCATGTATTGTATTTTACAGATTTATTTCAGATCAAACCTGATAATGTCATTTTTGTACGTTCCTCAAAGAAAATAACATATATAAATATTTTACAAAAGAATCTCTTCTTATGTATCATACTTTGTATGAAAACTGGAAAACAATACAGTTTAATAAAAGTAACAAAAAAAGGTAAAAAAACGTTAGTCTTTGTCAGTCAATTTGTTTGATTCTGAAACCTAAATTTTTAATCGAAATAGATCAGGGAAACCTTAGTTACTCGTATTAGGGTATGAATGAAAGGATTATTTACATAGATTCCTATTTAAAAATATCCTCCTAGATTGAGAAAGAACGTGAAAATCTCTCATCGATCTATTATGACTTTTTTTTTCTTTTTTTTTCTCTTATTTTGTTCTTTTTGGCTCACCAAATATACTTTTATTAGAAAGAAACAAAGTTCCCTTAAACATCTATAAGCCAAACATTATAGAAAAACAAATTACCCCCAAATATATAGGTACCTTGAACCCGTATATGTTTTATCATGTTTATCTCCAATAACTTATTTGACCAATTTTCTGAATGTTCACACTCAAACTTTGTCGGTCATCAGGTACAGTGCAAATGTACAAAATTTAGATAATGTCATTTCAAGAGCTTATCATCAATTATCAACCTAAACCAGTTCAAAATATGATTAAGATTACTCTTCTAATATGATTTTGAATGAGAGCTCATATGTTCATATAAGAGAGCTCATAGAAAAAATGTAATTTTCTGGTTCTTTGGATTACCAGTTTCTGGTATCTTGATGTTATACTAAACTGTACATATTGGAAATGAATACAAATTTGTTCATTTACCAAAAAAAAAAAAAAAAGATTAAGGTTGAGGCTATTGGAAATGAATACAAATTTGTTCATTTACCAAAAAAAAAAAAAAAAGATTAAGGTTGAGGCATTTTTTTCTCATTGCTCTTAATCAAAAGAGAAGGGAGAGAGCATGGCAGCCAAATTCTCACGCTCTATTCCCACTGCAACTGCATCAGAGCAAGCCTCCTACTGAAAGTTGGCAGGGCGCATGGAATAAGCAGAAGCAACCAAAAGAGCTGCAGGCTTTTTTTTTATTTCCTCATCTCTCCCTTTTCAACTCAACTTAATAAATTATAAATATATACTATTATATTATTATATACATAATAATAATATTCAAATCGGTTTTTCTATAGAGTGCCCATGGGCACTCTACAAGAGAGAAGAGAGATAGAGAGAAATGAATAGCTCATGGGCCCCCTGATTTGTATTAATTTCTGTGCATAATTTATTTCTCTCTATCTCTCTCCTCTCTTATAGAGTGCTCATGGGCACTTTATAGAAAAACTATATTCAAATTTCTTCCCTTCAGAAGTCCCTCATATGCTCCCCATCTCCCCAAATCCTCTCTAATAAATGCCCTTCAAAAGCCCTTGCCTTCTTTTTTTCAAAATCCAAACTCGTCTGCCCCTTTTTATTATTCTTTATTAAATAAACAAATCGTATACAACTATAAGTGAGGACCATCTCTGCATCCAGCTTCTTTATAAGCCAGCCTTTCTTTCTCCACAGCAATCTCCCCTGGATTCAAAACCCCAAAATTTCTCGCTATCTCCATATCCAAGCAAGACATCATAGTCGAAGGCCTAGTAGAGGTGTGTACCATTGAAAATTTTGTAGTATTATTTCCTTTTCCTTAAGATTATGAAAATGGCCGGCTAGCTAGTTTCCTGTTGTGTAACAGTTCTGACATTGGATTTTTTTTGCAGGCAAGAGAGGGGGCAATGGACAATTTGGGATGGGATGTTGTTAGTCCATCATCAATCTTTAGAAATAATGAGCTGCTTACTGTTCCACCAAATAATACAATCTGGAACAATAGTAATCAGTACGAATCCGACGCTGATTACTGCATTATAAGCAACAAGGCCGAGCTCAATGATTCAATATTGCTCAACTCAAGCTTAGATCAACTGCAACAACTCGATTCGATCAACATCGAATTGCTGGCTCCAGCTTTCGACATGGCAATGAGCAACAATCACCTAGATCTTGATTCTCTCCTCACTTCATCTAATCATCAACTTGTTCCTTTCCCTGAGCAAATATTCACCAGTGGGAGCAGCGGTAATTTGACGTCATCCGCGGAGTCTGAAAGCTCCTCCCAAGCTGCAGAATCATCAAAGAATCTGCGTAGTTGCAAGAGGAAATTCGAAAACCATCAGCAACATTCCACAACAGGAGGAGGAGCGTTTCAGATATTCTTCGAGAAGAACTCAGCAAGCTCAAAGAGATCGAGATTACTTAATGAAAAGGACTCGATGGATAAAATCTCAAACATTGATTTCAGACAGGAGAATGCAAAGTCATCAGGGTACGAGCCCGACACTGAGGCGATAGCTCAGGTGAAGGAGATGATATACAGAGCAGCGGCGATGAGACCGGTGAACCTCGTTCTTGAAGAAGCAACGGAGAAGCCTAAGAGAAAGAACGTTAAGATATCGAGCGATCCTCAGACCGTGGCTGCGAGGCATCGAAGAGAGAGGATCAGCGAGAGGCTGAGAGTTCTGCAGAAGTTAGTTCCAGGTGGAAGCAAGATGGATACTGCTTCAATGCTTGATGAAGCAGCAAATTATCTCAAGTTTTTGAAATCTCAAGTCAGTGCTTTGGAAACCCTAAGAGGAGGAGGAGGAGGAGGTATTAGTAATAATATTAATGTACAGGCTTTTGCCATGCAATACCCAAAACCCTAGCTAATCCAATGATAATGATGATCATCATGATTAGCTTTTTCTCCTAACAAAAAGAAAACCTTAATATCAAAATTTGTAAAAGGTTCGGCTTTTTACTAGCATCATTACTCCTTTTTACCATTAGCTTTAACTTTTGAGTATCTATCTAAAGTTGGTCATGTCCTCAGTTTCCCATGCAAAAAAACCCTAATTTCTTTTTTTGCTTTGTGAAAAAAAGTTGATGGATGAGGGAATCATGAGACCTATGATTAAGAGCTTGAATGCACAAGGATTAAGGAATTGTTCTCTCGGTATTAGTTAAAGAATTTTTCTTGGGTTTGTGATTATGCTTGTATGTTTAAAAATCTCAGTGCTATGCATGGTGATGTTAGTGCTAATGAGTTAAAATTGGTGATATTTTTGAGAGAGAGAGAGAGAGAGACATTCTCATTTGGGGGTGTGCATGTGTGGCAGAGGGCAATGTTCCCTTGATTCGAGCCAAGCGTGCTCTTGAGAACACCACCCTAAGGTGTTGCTTAGCACGTGGGAAAGGAGAAAAAGAAAGCACTATGATCTCTTTTAATTAATTCTCATTCATTCTCTCTCACTCAATCGTAACAAACTTCAATTAGTGTACGTGGGTCTAATAATAAAAAAGATTTTAAAAAGAAATTGGTTCTCGTATAGTTGGATAGATGACATATACCCCTCAAACTATGTAACAAACTGTGGGGGTGACCATTGAAAGAGAGAGGGGAAGGATGATGTTGGAGGGTGCGCAAGTGGCCAATTGGGTTGTTGATTGGTACTCCTCTGTCATCTTTCCCCCCTCCTTTTTATTCCTTTTTTTTTAATTTTGAATGACTCAAGAAAAGGGAGAAGTGATGCTTTGAACTCAAAGAAGTGTTTTTTTGTGGTTGGACAATTTTTTTGGGAAGTTTGTTTTGAGGAGACTCGGATATGTCGGCCGGATTGGATTCAGTTGCTTAGCTTCTTACTTTATTCTATTGACCTTCTTGTTACGTATACATACGTATTTCTTCACGCACAGGCAAGCTTGAGTTTTTTGGAGAATATTTATATGAGACGTGGACAAGAAATTTATAACAAGTCCTTCTAAAGAATTTGCTCATAGGATATCAAGCTTTCACCTCTTTCCTTGTTCTCCTAAGTAAATCATTTCAACATAAAATTTAAGTTGTTGGATTGCATATAATTAAAAGGTATTTCAGATAATTAACTGGATGCTGAAATGAAATTTTAGTGGCTTTGCCATTATGAGACCCCAACCTTAATTCTCAAAAAATAAATAAATGAATAAAATTAAAAGAAGAAGATGGTTCTAGCATGCTAATTTGAAATATATAAGATAGCGTCAAGTTTGATATTCATGGTCTTCCAGTTTATCAGTCATAGTGTTTAACATCTTGTATTCATGTTCTTCCAGTTTATCAGTCATATTCGTAGGGTTCTCTACTTCGCGAGGAGTCTTGAGCAATCCTCTTTCAATAGAAGACGAACAAAGAAAACAACTAATCATTAGATCAAAACTCCAAAGTTTTTGCTATTTCAAAGATGGAAACCTAGACTCACACAGCGGTATCAATCTTTTCAAAATCCGCTCAAAAATTCGTGGCTAGCAATATTCAAATTTGGACGCTTTGATACCGTGTTAAAGTCATTAACCATTACACCCATACTTCGCAGTTGTGGTTAGGATATAGGATTATAATTTAATAGTCTAACAACTCATGATCACTTGTGGTAAAAAAAAAAGGGCGGGTCTAATGGTGCATTTTAGTGGGCGGTTTTTCTCCTGCTAACGTGCGCCCCCGCCAAGATCTAGATGGAAAAAAAGAAGAAAAAAGTAGAAAAAAATCTTTAATATAGGATTAAGAGCTTCAAATTCTAGTTTACAATCTTCTGAGGATCAATCTGATGTAAATTTTGCTGAAGATGATGAAGATTTGGATCTTGGTGTAATGAAGAGAAGAAGAAGAAATCGATGGAGGATATTCTTAGCTCTAATGATTTCCCGGTGGATCCTTTTCACTCCCAGGGTACGCCGGAGTTGATTGGAGTTCAATCGCGTCATCTCAGTAAGTCCCCAATCTTTGGTAATGAAGTTGGCAATTCTGCAAGGGTTTATTGGGCTGATGAGCTTGAATTGGAGAATGTATCAATTGATTCTTCTTTGATTCAACATCTCTCAGCTAATCCTAGAAGTAATTTTGATTCTGTTTCACCGATTGCATTGATTCTAGATGATGTTGTTGTTCCATTGGATTATGTTGGAAAAACGGATGATGCGACCAAATCTGATGATCTTTTGTCTCGTGATATTTTGAATGTTGTTATTCCAAATTCTGATACTTTGCCATTAGAGCCTCCTACAGTAGAAACCGTCAATCAAAAATCAGATAATACCACACATGGAAATGTTATGAATTTGGGAAATAATATGCAATAACCTAAAAAATCTTTTGCTAGTCTCTTTGCTGATAATAAGAGATCTGGTAATGGAACGCCTTTAAAATTTGTGCATTCTTCCCAAGCCAATACATTTACATTCTCTGCGGAGGAGTGGAAAGATGGAGAGGTTTACTGGAAAAATGCTTTGATATGCCATGTAGTTGGAATGAATGTTAAATTCAAGTCTATGGAATCTTATGTTACCAAACTTTGGGGTGCAACCTCAATTTCGAAAGTCTCCTTAATCAAGCAAGGAGTATTTCTATTTGATTTTCAATCTGAGAAACAAATGAGGGAAGTGCTTGAGGCTGGTCCCTGGTTCTTTGGTTTTAGGACGTAGGTTCTTAAGCCATGAACTATTGACACGGACATGGAGAAAATTCAGAACTATAACTATCCTATGTGGGTTCAATTTCCTAATTTGAGGTTAAATCTGTGAAGTTCTGTTAGCATAAGTAAAATTGCAAGTCTTATTGGTTATCCAACTGCAACTGATAAACTTACAGCCATAAGAGAGCGATTGAATTATGCTAGAGTTTTGTTGGAAGTCAAACTTCCTTTAAAAGAGGCTTTACCTGATCAAATAGCTATCCAAGGTCCTGATGGAAGAAGTTATAATCAAATAGTATTGTATGAACTTAAGCCAAGATGGTGCTCTTTGGGCAACATTATAGGGCATGAAACTGAGAAATGTAGGAGGCAAACTACAAAAAAGAAATGGGTACCAGTTAATAAGCAGCCAATGAAAGATGCACAAGTTAGTTATGCTAATATGCAACAATATCTTGTACGTAAGCAAGGACCTGTTGAAAAGAGAGATAAACCTAAGAATTCTGGACAGAATAAACTTGTTGAGATTATAGATCCTGCTGGATTATTGAATATGGATGCACCAGTTGTTGAAAATTATGTTCAAAAGGGAGGAAATGTATTGGAAGTTAGTTCTGGGCTATCTGAACTGAAGGCACAAAACTTTGGAGTAACTGAATCAAATATGCATGTTTCTGGTAAACATGCACAGAGTGTGCACAAAAAAAAGAATTTTTCAGGCACTTTCAGGTTTTCCCCAAATGTTAATACTTCTAGTTTTACAAAGGCTACTAGGATCAGCGTAGCTAGGAGACCTATTGCAAATGATACGGGTCCTTCAATTCAAGCTTCACATTTCTCTATTTTGGATCATCGGGTAGTTGAATTGCACCCCTCTAGTATTCATAGGGGTAAATCTCTAAATAATGCACCTGGTCATCTGGAACATTAGAGGATTTAATAAATTCTCTAAACACATGGTGGTTAAGCAAATTATACAAGAGTACAAACTTTCATTTTTAGCTTTATTGGAAACAAAGGTCACTGGGGAAAAAATGCAGACCGCTGCCAAGAAAATTACAAAAACTTGTGAGTGGATTTCAAATATACATGAAGCAAACAATGGGAGAATATGGATACTATGGGATAATGATATTCTCACTGTTCAGTGCTTAAAATCATCAAAATAATACATTACTTGTGCAGTGCAATCAAAGGATGGTAAACTGACATGCCTAATCACAATTGTCTATGCTCTTAATCATTTGGAGGGTAGAAATTTGCTCTAGGAAGAACTTCTGGCATTTAAAAGGAATGTAAATGGACCCCTGTTAGTAGGAGGGAACTTCAATGCTATCATTAATAATGAGGAAAAAATTGAAGGTGCACCAGTTATAGATATTGATACTGAGGACTTTCTGTACTTTATGAATTCAAGTCAGTTAATGCATATAGTGTTATTTCACTTGGAGTAACAAGCAAGAGGTAGCAACAAGAGTTTGGTGCAGGCTAGATAGGGTACTGGTAAATGAGGAATGGATTAAACACTATACTTCCAGTCAAGTAGAATTTATGATGCCATCATGTTCTAATCATTCTCCAACTTTGCTAACAGTTGGCGATGAAAATTTTAAGGTCAAGAGAACATTCAAGTTCTTTAGTATGTGGACAAAACATCCTGATTTTATATCAGTGGTTAAATCAGTATGGGATCAAAAAATCATCGGTTATAACATGTACAGGTTTCACTCTAAGCTCAAAAGGCTTAAACCTGTTCTTAAAGAATTGAATAAAAAGCATTTATGAATATCAGTGAGAAAGTTTCAAGAGCTAAAGCAGAGCAGCGTGACATTCAAAATCAGTTGAGCAACAACCTCTTTGATTCTATTCTGATTTTAAAGGAGAAAGAACGTGTTAAAAAATATACAAGGCTGTTGGATTGTGAAATATCTTTCTACAAGAAAAAAGCCAATATAAACTGGGGGTTGCATAGAGACAAGGGTACTCAATCCTTCCACTCTATCATGAAGGCTAAGAGACATCAAAACAGGGTACTATCCATTTATTCTGAGGATGGTTCTAAGATATCTGATATGCATGTAATCATATCTAAGTTTACTGAATACTACAAAAAACTTCTTGGTACTACAATTTCCACTTCACCTCCTGACCCAGTTGTGATCTCAAATGGACCAATTCTCTCACTTAATCAGTGTAATGATATGAGCTACTTGTTACTATAGAGGAGATTAAGCAAGTAGTTTTCTCCATGTCAGATGGCAAAGCTCCTGGGCCTGATGGATTCAATGTTTCTTTCTTTAAGAAGGCTTGGAATATCATCAATGAAGATCTTTTCCTAGCAATTGAGGAGTTCTTCTGCTCAGGTAAACTCCTTGG